TAACAAAGTAATTTATTTTATATTTAATAATGAAATTTTTTATTAAGATAATAATTAAGTATTTTGATAGAACTTAATGATTATCTTAATTATATTTTAGACTTTTTATATTTGAAATAAAATGTTTATCTTGTATTTGACTATGTTTATCTATAGTTGGTTATACAAATTCAAAATGAAGCTTTAATAAGTTAAACTTACGCACAATTTATTTGTAATCTTGAATTTTAAGTAATATACATCAATAAACAGTATTCATGCATAAAAAATGGTTTTTAAGAATTTTTGTCAAATGTTTTATAATATAGTATAGATAAATGAGTGTGTGAGAATAGGGGTTAAACTAAAAAGTGTAATAAAGGATTTGGACTCTTAATTACTTTTAATCTCAAATCAATTCATGAATTGCGTTTTAAAAAGGAATCGATCTGATATTTCTTATTAGTATTGATCTACTGAAACTCTTAAATCACTTTTAATCTCAAATCAATTCATGAATTATTTATTATTCCTCGGTCCTAAAACAAGTGTCTACATTACTGTTTTAGTTTGACCAAAACTAAATGTTCAATTTCAAAAGTAATTGTTTATTTTCTCATTCTACCCTTAATTATGAGATAGAGAAAAATCTTCTCTCTGTAGTTAAAGGTAAACGTGTCCTTTTATTAATTAGAAAACGTAATGATTATATATTTCTAAAACTGTGTGTATTTTTCATTGTGAACAATTATTTTGGAACGGAAGGGTATTATTATATATACATAGGACTTCTATTTAAAAATCTTAAGGGTTCTGGAAATTACTTAATGAGCTTAATAGAATATATGAAGAAGTCATATATGTCTGTTTATTATAGCTTACAGATCCATCATAACTGAAAACCACATAAATTTCACTCTCTTCTACGATTACACCTCGTTTGATTCAAACCTTTCACGATGCCTCGTAGCTTTTAAAAAAATCGAGTTGCATTAATTAGTGGATGTAAGCTCTTTTGCTAATTTCTCTTGATGATCTAAGTAGGTTTTAGAAAGAAAATCAAACTTTGCCATTTTAATGGAGCATTCAGTCGTAACTAATTGATCAGTAACTGTCACCATCGGCCAGTGTGATTGTTCAGATGTTCAACAACTTTAGGAAATGCAGTATAACTATTTTTCTTGTTAAGTTTCCAATTGTAAAAATTCAATTTAATAAGAGGTTTCTATGTCTTTTAATAAACACAAAGTTTATTCAATTTTAACACATACAACAGATTTAAAGCTTAGGGGCCGTTTACCTAAACACTTACCCGGTAAGCACTTATCGATAAAATTCAACACTATCGTTTACTTACCGTGTAAGATTTCATTCACTAAAACGCATCGTATGCAACAATTTATCCCGGTAAGCTCTAACCATGGTAAGAGTCGTCATTCTTATTTACCGGGTAAAACTCTTGATTCTTGTCTTCGGTTTTAGCGGATAAGATCATTAGTCCTTCTCATATTCATCCGGTAAAGTAAAATGAGTTGCTATACCTAAGTAGATGAAAGTCATACATCATTATTATCTCTATAAAAATTTGTGATGATCATCCAAATGCTTTCTGGGATAGAAAAAAACATATTGTTTCCCTTCCTTATGAAGAAGACTTATTTGAGTATGGTATTCCTACTAAGGCTAGACCTTGTCAAATGAATTCAAAATATCTCATTTTATGCAAAAATGAGATTTCCAATCTCCTTGCAAAAGGTCTCATAAGGCCTTCCCAGTCACCTTGGTCCTGTACTGCCTTTTATGTAAATAAACATTCAGAACAGGAAAGGGGTATCCCTCGTTTGGTTATAAACTATGAGCCTTTAAACCAAGTTTTAAAATGGATTAGACATCCTATTCCAAATAAGAAAGATCTTCTTGACAGACTTTTTCAAGCTTTAATTTTTTCAAAATTTGATTTAAAATCTGGTTATTGGCAGATTCAAATATCTGAAGCAGATATTTATAAAACCGCTTTTAATGTGCCTATGGGACATTATGAATGAAAGGTCATGCCTTTTGGCCTAAAAAACGCCCCTTCTGAATTCCAACAAATCATGAATGACATTTTTTATCCATATAGTAATTTTATTATTGTCTATATTGATGACATTCTGGTTTTTTCTAAAGACATTGAAAGTCATTTCAAGCATTTGAATATATTCAAAACTTTGGTTATTCAAAATGGTTTAGTCATTTCTAAACCAAAAATGTCTTTATTCAAAACAAAAAGCAGATTTTTAGGTCATGATATTGAAAAGGGAACTATCACTCCAATCCAAAGATGTATTGAATTTGGAGATAGATTTCCTGATTAAATTCTAGACAAAACTCAACTCCAAAGATTTTTGGGAAGTTTAAATTATATTTCGGCCTATATTAAAGACTTAAACAATCATACATCAATTATGTATGATCGTCTAAAGAAAAATTCTTGTAAATGGACTGAAAGTCATACATTAGCAGTTCAAGAAATTAAGAAGAAAGTCAAAAACCTTCCTTGCCTTATGCTTCCTAAT